ATGATGAATTCGTATTTGATGAATTTAAGACTAGCTAGAAAGCAAGTAAGTTGTTTTACATCTTTACTAATTCCCTTCACTACTTTTCCTGGGAAATGGTGGGGGATTGAGATTCACATTACACTGAAATTGTCCTCTCACCAGTTTTCAAATACATTGTCTTGAAATACAAAAGGAATCTGTAATGCAATTTAGAAACATTTCTACCTTAAAAGATTAAAATGTAAAAAGTCTTCTAAAAGCCTCTTAAGCTTCAGGTATTCAAAGAACTCATTTACATGAAAAAGCTCATTGCTGGGTGGGTCTAGGTTTTGGAGAAAGTGTTCTAAGACTACACTTCAATGAAAATACACTCTCGGATTGCTCTAATTTGCAAAAAGTTAGTGTGGCATCAGGGACCACACGCCAGAGCAGCCCATTCCCTGGTCTGTAAACTCTGACCCCTCTACTCTAAGTATACATCCTTTGCTGCAGTCCTATGCCTTCAACAGCCCCCTGTCATGGTCTGGGCGTCCATCTAGCAAGCCTCTAAAGAATAAATACATGTGAAAGTAGTTTCTGAGCTTTAACTTGACCACAAGTAGAGAGACCAGTAACCACAGCAGTGTAACATTTGCTTGTACTTATTGAATACTTGCTGTGTGCCGGGACTTGTGCAGAGCACTTTAAATGCCTCATCTCACTTAATCCACTCAACATCACTTCGAGGAAGCTACTATGATTGTCTCTATTTTTCAGATGAGGGACATGAGGATTCAAATGACTGAGTGACTGGGTCAAATTCACACAGCAGTAACGGTTAGGGCAGGAAATGTAACCCAGTGTCCAGGACGTTAACGCTATCCTCTTAGTCGCCATACAATACTCCTGACCAAGGAAGTGGGACCACCTGATCACCAAGAGGCCATGTTCTCAGCAACTAATGAGTAATGGTTAAGAAAATGGTTAAGGAGAAGAATTCCAGTGATACCTCGGCAATCAGAAGAAAAAAAAAATCAACTCAGATGTCAAACTCCCACTTGATGCATTTGAAAGCAGGATCCTGAGAAACACTCAGATACTGTGCAGCAGGACTTCCATGTGGGCATTGAGAACAGAATAGGGAGAACAAAACAGAACAGAACAAAGCAAGTGAAGACATCTGTTTTCTACAACGTTTCCTGTTCAGTTCAGGTTTATTCTAGACAGTCAAGACCAAGCCTACATGAGAACTGACCTTAGTGAGCTTCACCCTTCTCCAGTAAGCAGCCAAAGTCAAGAAGCCTGACCAGAGAACTAGAGAGTTGCAGTGAATTTTTAAGCGCAGAGGGTTCAAGGAAGCTCATGTGGTATCACCCCAGCCAAAGCCATCGCTAAACTTGAGTGCCACTACTTTAGGAGTTACAGCACATTCGTTTTTAGTAAAAGTACCTTGAGGCTTGCTAATGAGACCCCAGGGGCATTGCATTCCAATTAGAGGAGTGGGCCATGGAGACACCATACCCCCTTGTCACGTTTACTTAGTGGTTCAGACTAACTTTGGAAGCTATGAAAGCCACTGTTTTTATTTTTGCTTTAGGCTCCTGTACTCAGTCATCACAAACTCATTCATTCTGCATGTAGTTAATAAGCAACTACAATAGGGCCTGGTTTTGTGCCATCTATTTGGGGAAATAGCTGGTACTAAACATGAAGTCATCTGGGTTTTCTTGCGAGTAGCAGGGACAAGTTTGAACTAAACTAGCCCCTTGACTACCACCTTACGTGTACATAGCATTTCGAAGCGTTTTCACCCTGCGAGGTAGGTAAGACAAGGAGTTATATAACATGGGGCTTAAAAACATGGGCCAGGGATTCAACCTGCCTTGTTTAAAGGCTGACTCTCCTATTTGCTAGATATATAACCTTCAACAGTGACTTAACTTCTCTTGATGTCATTTCTTCATCTGCAATTTTTTCTTTCTCAGGTTTAAAGAAATCAATAAACATTTCCACAATCGTAGTTGGAGAAATTAACTCTGTCAGAGGCGTTTGAACCAGAGCAACTCCATCTTGAATAGGGGATGAGTAAAATGAGGCTGAGATCTACTGGGCTGCCTTCCCAGGAGGTTAGGCACTCTAAGTCACAGGATGAGATAGGAAGTCAGCAAAAGATACAGGTCATAAAGACCTTGTTAACAAAACAAGTTGTGGTAAAGAAGCCCTCCAAATTCCACCAAAACCAAGATGGCAATGAAAGTGATCTCTGGTCATCCTCACTGCTCATTATATGCTAATTATAATGTATTAGCATTCTAAAAGACACTCCCACAGAGCCATGACGGTTTACAAATGCCATGGCAACATCAATAAGTTACCCTGTATGGTCTAAAAGGAGAAGAACCCTCAGTTCCAAGAATTGCCCACTCCCTTCCCAGAAAACTCACTAATAATCCATACCTTGTTTAGCATATAATCAAGAAATAACTCCAAGTATCCTTAGTCCCGTAGCGCAAGCTGCTGTTCTGCCTATGGAGTAGCCATTCGTTATTCCTTTACTTTCTTTATAAACTTGATTTCACTTTAGGCTATGGAGTATCCCTGAATTCTTTCTTGTGCAATATCCGAGAACGTTCTCTTGGGGTCCAGAATGGTACCCCTTTGCAGTAACAACTCTACTGCCTCAGAAAGTGGTAGTATGATTAGACCAAGAAAATCTGTAGAAACATAAAAGATCTGAGCAATATATCACCCACCCTAACCAAATTGATATTTATAGAACACTATACCCTATAACTGAAAAATACATATTCTTTTCCAGCACACATTGTAGATTCACTAAGATAGACTTTAGGTTTGGCTATGAAACAGGTTTTAACAAATGTAAAAGGAATGGCATTATTCAGAATACTCTCTAACCACAACGGAATTAAACTAGGATTCAATAACAACAAGATATCAAGGAAAAATCCCAAATAATTGAAAATTAAACAACATAGTTTTAAATAATCCATTGGTTAAAGGAGAAATCATTAAAAATGAGGTTATGTTTTAAACTGAATGATAAAAATACTTGTGAAATTTTGTGGGATGCAGCTAAAGTATTGTTTTTTAAAGTTTATAGTTTAAAACTCTTTCATTATTATTTTTTATTTTTGTGGGTACATAGTAGATAGATATATTTATGGGGTACATGAGATGTTTTGGTTCAGGCATGCAAAGTGAAACAAGCACATCATGGAGAATGGGATACCCATCCCCTCAAGCATTTATCCTTTGAGTTACAAACAATCCAATTACACTCTTTAAGTTATTTTAAAATATACAATTAAGTTATTATTGACTATAGTAACCCTGTTGTGCTATCAAATAGTAGGTCTCATTTATTCTACTTTTTTTCCCCATTGACCATCCCCACCTCCCCCTCATTCTCCCACTACCCTTTCCAGCCTCTGGTAACCATCCTTCTACTCTCTATGTCCGTGAGTCCAATTGTTTGGATTTTTAGATCCCACAAATAAGTCATAACATGTGATGTCTGTCTTTCCATGTCTGGATTATTTCACTTAGCCTAATGATCTCCAGTTCCATCCTAGTTTTAAATTCTTATATTAGAAAGGAAGTAAGGTCTAAAATCAACGAGCTAAGTTTTTACCTGACTCCTCATACAATCTAGAGGGAAGGATATAGGAAAGATAACAGATATTAATCAGAGAAAATAAAAACAGAAAAATTTTAGATGAAGTGAAACAATGGTCCTTTGCAAATATTAACAAAACAAATGAAATGGAAAAGAAAAAAGCACAAATTTTTAATACTGGGAAGGCAAAAGGATATCACTACAATTCTGTAGGAAATAAAGGATAATGAGAGAATATTATGAACAACTTAAGTTTTCAATATCAATGTCATATGATGATCTAAAGTCATCAAAGTCATATTTTTAAAATGATTTATAAGATTGTATATAGAATAAAAGATTTAAAATACAAATGACTTTCGGGTGCACTAAAGATTCTAAGAGTTTCCTACCATTTAAAAGGAAGGTGTGGGCTAGACTCCCTGATGGTGCAGATGGGGGATGATTAAAAAAGGAGCATAACTTCCAGAATCAGACAATGTGAATTCAAATCCTCACTCTACCTACTCTGTAATTTTAGACATTTTCTGAGTAAATTCTCCATGTAAAATAGGGGCAGTAACACCCCCTCCTATACCTACATGTCATAATGCCCTACATATGATAAATGCAACTATGTCAGCTCTAACCATGTATATGACTACAAGAAGCCAAGAGGCCAACAGACTGAGAAAAGGAAAAGGTTAAACAATAAGAGGCAGAAGGAGGGAAAACAGGGAGTTAAAGGGGGAACAAACATGAACAGGAGAGATTTTTATAATAGGAAACAAAATGTTAATGATACATGGAAAATAAAACCTGTGCCTACAAAGTCGATATTATCATCCAGTGCCTTCAATTTGCTTAAAATCTCCCTGTGGTTCTTTTGGATTCTTGAGAACCCTGAGTCTAATGCTAGTAAGAGCTCATGCGAATCTCTTGACAAGAGTCAACGTCTTCCATTCTCAGGACTAAACCCTTCTCAGTCAGCTTGCCTGCCCCAAACCCTTTCAGCACAACCTCAGTATGTCAAGTCAAGAGACTTTCCAATCATGTGAATGTTCAAACTGGTAGGACATATTGACTACTGCTCCCCAAGACAGTCATTCTCAACCCCTACGTCCCTCTTCACCATTCCCAGGCTGACCTGGTTTTCTGGAAGAGTTTATTCTCTCTAGACCAGCCAATCTGTCTCGACACCACTGTCAGATTTGGAAGCACAGTGCGAGAAGATCCCTCTTACTCCATCCTAGAGACCCCTTCCATCTTGTCCAACCCCATAAGATGAGGAAACTGAAACTTCAAAAAAGAAGGTAACTGGCCCAAGGCCACTCACTCCATTGGGCAAGGTAGATGCAGAGTGAGATCTTAGGTGCCCCAATTTCCTCTCCCCTGCTCCTCCTATTTTCCCTAACTAAATCATCTACTTCTCTTCCCGAATTACTTTTCTCCCAACGTGTCTCCTCATGGCGTTTTTCGCTTCAGCATTCCTAAAGGAGTAAATGACGGGGTTTAAGAGAGGTGTGACCACCGTGTAAAATACGGCGACTATCTTATCTGTAGGGAGGGTGACACAGGGCCTCATGCAGACAAAGGAGCAAGGCATGAAGAACAGGCCCACAACTGTGACATGAGAGGCACAGGTGGAGAGTTCCCTGCGCCGGGCCTCCGAGTTGTGGCTCCTCAGGGAGTGCAGGATGATCAGGTAGGAAGCTATCCGCACCGAGAAGCTGACCACAGAGATGGAGCCGCCATCATCCGGCGGAAAGAGGAAAATTACTTTCCACTTGATAAAAGAGTCGAAGATAAGCTTGGGGGCCACGACAGAACAGTAACAGATCTCCACAAAGGATACGTAGCTGAGCAAGAAATACATGGGGGAGGTGAGCCCTTTGCTGGCCAGGATGTTCACCACAATGAGGCCATTGCCCGGCACAACGGCTGTGCACATGAGGAGAAACATCACAGAAATGACCCTCTGTTCATTCTGATTCTGGGAAAATCCCAGGAAAATTATTTCAGTCACATTTTTTGTAGCAGCCGTAGTTTAAAGCACAGGAGCCGACAGCCTGGAATCACAGAAATCAAAGAGCTCTCCTCAATCATTAGAAACAGAAACATCCTTGGCAGGCCTGAGGACGATCATCATTCTGCTCCCTCTTGAGTTTGTTCTCTCCGTCGGTTTTCCCCAAAATGTGTTCTGAGACAAGTGAACAAAATGGCAAATATCAGCTGTTTGATGTTATTCCCCACATAGGCCTCGATTTTGTAGTGTTGCTGCCTTGAAATGTTTTTGCTGATCTAGCACATGTTGATTGAATGCTTACAAGAAAAATCAGAGGACATTTTATAGATAAGAAAAAACGGAGACTCAGGGAGGTCTAGTCACTTGCCCAAAGCTACACAGCTCTTATTCGAGCCCAGATCTGTGTTTCTCAAAATATATATGCTTCCACTACATCTCCTATGCCTAAAGAGTACCTGACGTCTACCTCTGCTTGTGCAGACTCGTTATGTCCCAGGGTTCTGATTAAAGGGTCCCAGGGTTAAGCATCTACAACAAGCCCTTAGAACAGTCAGCTATGTTATAAAATGGGACTGAATATGCTAAGTGACGTGCTAAGTCACAGAAATAAAAATACTGTATAAGTCCACTTATACAGCACCTAGAGTACCTAGAGTAGTCAAATTCATAGAGACAGAAAGTAGAATGGTGGCTGCCAGGGACTGCATGGGGAGGAAGAATGTGGAGTTAGTGTTTTCATGGTAGTTTCAGTTTGGGGCAATGAAAGGTGGTGATGGCTGCACAACTATGTGAATGTATTTTATTGTTACTTAGCTATACACTTAAAAATTGTTAAGATGGTAAATCCTGTTGTGTATTTTACCCCAATTTAACTAACTAATTATTGAAATGCCTTCTGACTTGTTACGGCCTCATGAATTTCCCCTTCTCCATACCTTCCTCCAAGGACAGTGGTTGAGACTTTGTGATTTTCCTTTCCTCGTCTCAGTTTCTTTCTTATGCCTGTTAGGGAACCTGGTTAGCTTCACAGATTTGAGGTTGGGGTTGAGAAATGTTAGCACTCAGTGGAGAAAACTCATTCCACTTGATAGTATAAGGCAGGATTGATATGATGAACCACTATAAGATGCTCTGCAGAAGCCAGAGATGTGGTAGAAGCATTTACATCTCGAAAATACAAACCTTGGTCCACAGAGGAGCTGTGTGGCTTGGAACAAGTGATGAAACCTCTCTGAGCCTCAGTCCTGTTCTATAAAACAGCCATAATGCCATCCCCTCATTGTTGTGCCCTCCCTTTAGCTCCCCACCATGCTCCTCTGTGTACCCAGCTGATCCTTCTGCCATATACCAATCTTTCACACACCGGATGTTTATACAGAAGGCAGGAATCTTACATGGGCAGGTTTCATCCTCACGGGAACAATGACTCTATCACTAGGTGAGTATTTTCTGAGAAATTTAGCTTGAAAGCAAATGTTCTCTGTTTCTTTAATTACTTCTGGTTTGGAGTATCAATGAGAGGTCCACTCAGAGGATTTGCAAGGACCACTTTCGTCTTCTGATTTTAAAAGATTAGTTGTTGTATTTTTAATCCAAGGCTATTAAAGGTTAACAGAACAAGATGTATACACAATATAATCATCAAATTGTCTTAAAAAGCTAAAAATTGAATGGATTTAGAGTAGAATTTTTAAAAGGAAATTAACATGTATTAAACCTCTGCATGAAAATGAAAAACCTTGGAGAGATAATTTCATAAAGAGTTCACTAGATGTGTAAACCACTGACAATTGTAGTGACATTTTGCCTGCGATGTCTAAAATACTTTAATACTGACTTTTTAATTGGCAGGGCCAAAGGGAGAGACCCTGAAACATAAGTCTGTGTTCTAATCAGACAGCACGTTAAATGGACATTTCCAGGATTCACAGTTAAGGAAACCTAAAACGGGGATACACACAGAATCTTAAGGAGGGCCTGACCTCAGTAAACAATGTCTGTGAAAATTTCTAAATATTTAAAATGAATCCAGTCCCTGCTTTGTGGTTTCTTATTTCACTTTTCCTGTCATAGAACCTCATGTACTGTGAGGTTTTGAAAAATAAGATTGGTCTGACTGGCCTTTTCCAACATTTTTCTCTCCAAAGGTATCCTATCACAGAGAAGTCAGACGCAGAAGCCTCCCTCCATCCTAGTTTCCTATGCAGAGTAATCATAAGCTGTCAAATTTGGAAGGGGCTCATGGATTCTTCATGTTACAGAAGAGGAATCTGGGGCCCAGAGTCACACAGCTGGTTGGTGCAGAGCCTGAACTAGAACTATGCGTCTCAGTTTCCCATTCAACACTTACTTTAAAGATCATGAAATCCATTGACTCTTCCACCTGGTGCTCACCAAAATCCAGCTTCCAGAATGGAGTAATAACATGGACAGGGAAGATAATCATGTTTACAACAAAGGCAAAGCCAAGTGGAAGAGTAAAATCTTTAAAAAAAAAAATGGCAGGAAGAAAGAAAATTTACAAAAATGTGGTCCTCATTGTTCAGCTCCTACTTATAAGTGAGAACATGCAGTGTTTGCTTTTCTGTTCCTGTGTTAGTTTGCTGAGGATAATGGCTTCCAGCTCCATTTATGTCCCTGCAAAGAACATGATCTCATTCCTTTTTCTGGCTGCATAGTATTCCATGGTGTGTATGTACCACATTTTCTTTATCCAGTCTATTATTGATGGGTATTGGGCATTTGGGTTGATTCTATGTCTTTCCTTTTGTGAATAGTGCTGCGATGAACATATGTGTGCATGTATCTTTATAATAGAATGATTTCTATTCATTTGGGTATATACCCAGTGGTGGGATTGCTGGGTCAAATAGTATTTCTGCTTCTAGGTCTTTGATGAGTTAATAGGTGCAGCAAACCACAACGGCACACATTTACCTGTGTAAGAAATCTGCGTGTCCTGCACATGTATCCCAGAACTTAAAATTAAATTAAATTTTTAAAAATAAAAATAAAACTTCTAGGAGAAACAAAAAATGTGATCTGACTTCAGTTATCTACTTGCCAAAGGTGTAATTTCTTCCCAGGCAGCCTGTGCAGAGCTTAGACACCCTGGAGAGGAGAGAATGTTTCAGGAGCCAGCCAAACTGGGCTGCCAGGGAAAGCACTCTGCAAGATTTGCCTTTGGGACTTGAGATCTAAGCTCTAAGACTTTGTCACCAATTTTTCTCTATCTAGTTCATGCACATCTGTCAGGTCTCTCAGTGAAGATATAACCTTTTGAAGATTGGTTGAGTTACATCCTCTATAGCACGTTGCACACAGCTGAGAACACGGTAGATGTTAAGAAGTGGTTTTGGAGTGATCCCTGAATCCTCCATCTGCTATTACATCTATTTTTAAGACACTGGAGGTGTCCTACAAACAGTACAGAGGTTAAAGTACATGCAGGGAGGGTATCTAATCTAAAAAAAAATAAGCTCCTCTTTTTGAAACTAATTCCAAGCATGCCCCACTAAAGATTAGGTGAGTTAACTTCCTTGAACATTGTTTGTGGTCTTGATTGTTAACTTACCTTCTAGATTTTTTTTTTTTTTTTTTTTTTTTTTTTTTGGTAAGCAGAACACTAATTCCCTTGCACCAAGTCATCCCAAAAAAAGTTTTATTTCACTAACAAAGTCTAAAGACAAAGAGATCAAATAAATCCAAATAGTGTGTCACTGTTCACTAGTCTAAAACTTGGAGATCTTGGTTCAAGATTTCTTCCCAGCAAATTTTAGATTTCTGTATAGACTAATCTCCATTCAGGCACAGATAGGCTAATACTTTTTTTTCTCCCGTAGGAGGCCAGATAAGAGAACATCTTAGCCAGATCCTTTGAATTTATCAAAAGAATATTGCTTTAAAAATACATTATTCAGCTGTTGATTCAGAAAACTAGTTTTGCAAACTATTCCATGTTGGCCGTGTTACCAGTGGCTCTGGTGCGAATGACTGTAACATCTGCTCAAAGCTAAACTATAAAGTAACTTTGTCACCCTGTCCTTTAACTAAGCAGCTGAGGCTTTAAGGGGTGATGTCTAAGGTCTGCCTCATCAGCTGAAAGAGTGAGCAAATCTATGAAGACTCACCATGTGTGAAAACATGTGGAAGCAAGAGTAACAACAGAAGGCACCAATGTGTCTCAAAGACCCCGCGTGAAGGTCTGCCCATCCATGGTAAGGGCTCAATAAATGTAACTGACTTGGAATCGTTCCACCCCTAAAAGGCACTGCTAAATGCTGATCCTCTCCCTAAGGATTCACCACGTGCCATTGATGCCACCCCTCCATGTGCCAAGTCCAGCCCTTAATGACTTTCTTGCTAAGAAAGTTGTAGGGGAATAGAATAGAGTCAGTCTGCCCTAAAACTCACTAAAAGGAGAGTTGAGGACATGATTGCTGGGCTGAGAGGCCCCGAAGCATCTAAGATGTATGAAATGGAAAGTTGAGGTCAGAGAACTGAATTCCCTGAACTTTTCTAGCACCCTCTCTCTGGGGAGTTTCTGAGAAAAGCAAAAGTCAATTTCCCAACTGCTTCATTCAGAGGTTAGGGAACCTATCTCTCATTAATCCAATTATAAAACAGGGGACTTCTACTTCCTCCCTCATGATTAAGCCCCGCATATTCTGGCCTCCATGGGTTTCCCTCTCCATTCTCAAGTAAGCGACAGAGGAGAATCTAACATCCCATCACCCCCTGTCCCCACCAAAGACACACTCAAGGGGCCACTGGCAAATTCTTCTGCCCTCATGCCTCATTGGACCAAGGATGTTGGTGAATTCCAGGAAGACTCTAACTAAGTGGACCTGGACCACTTCACAGATTAACTTTGGATATGTCACCTGAATCACAGCATGCTAGACATGTAATTTACCCCAGTATTAGTGAATATTGTAGATGTTCATTTTATTCATATTTCCTTGTTTTAGAATGTCACAGCCTGCAGAATAATTTTTTTGTCCTTA